TATGTCACATTTGATTTTACTGTCTTCTAAAAAAAAGTAATAAGAACTATGGGAATAATAAAACCCAAAATGTGTAATTGTCATTATAAAAAAGAGAGGAAAAGAAAGTGCTCTAAAGGATATAACAGCATGTATATTTAAGAGTATAAGATAGATAACCATATTACTGACATTAAACAGAACTGTTTGTGGTCTCACTGTTTGAATGTCTACTTTATATGCCTTAATTTCATAACTTGAACAACTATTTCTAATATGACAATATGTAATCTATTAACTAGTGATTTCCTACTGTTTATTTTTTTAATTCTGTATAACTTGTACCTTTTTTCTGTCTTTTTTTCTTTTTCTCCTTAAATAAATTTTTTTAAATACATTGCTGGCCTTTCTAGATGAAAGCAAATTGCTTCCAATGGGCCTTATGGACAAGTACGGAAAATGGCATTTGCCAAATTAATAGGTGCAAACCAGGTACCAGGAGATGTGTTGATCTGTTCAAGCAAGGAAACCACATGTAGTACAGCATCTACAACTGGAACTGCCACTTCATTAACCTTATAGTGTTTCACTATCAATCTCCAAGAGCCACCATCACCTGCAGAGGCCAAATAGGAAAGTTAAAAGGCGAGTTATGGGAACCACCATTCCTTCATCTTTCAAACCTCAAGTGCTAGCAATAATCTCTGGAATCCTTCCAGGGATGAGATACTGATTTTATTTCCTACATTTCCAGGTAGATGTTCCATTTGACCTTTCCCACTACACCTGTCCTTGATCCAATAAGAGGATTCTGTCAAGTACAAAGATAACTATTCCAATTATGTATTCTGGAATTATGGAGATGATCAGGTGGTGGATTCAGGGACCCACTGGACCTTGGCTAAAACTCATTGATGACCTGATCGATATAGGCTTCTACTCTTACTGGAGAGCCACAGTGATATTTTAGATATCCAGGAATCAGCAATAGTTCAGAACCAACATTCTACAATCTCCAAAATTTCTAATGGTTTTCTTTTCCCTACTGTAAAAAAAAAATCAGTCCCTGTGCAGAGAGGTGGGGGAAAGACTTTTGACAGTGTACCAGGCCCTCCCTTAGGTGGACCCATCCTCATTCAATAAGAAAAAGATGTCTTAAGAGAAACATCATATTAAACAGAGTGAATAATAGCATCCAATTATTCTTTTATTATTTTTCTCTGAAAAAAAATAAGTTATCAATGTTTTGATATTAACTATAATAATTTCTATGGATAAATTTCACAGGTTGAAGACGTTTTTTATTCCCAGTTTGCTTTAAAAAAACATTTAAATGAATGAGGATGAATTGTAGCAAATCCTTGCTTTGTTTTCATTTTTAGTTCAGCTAAATAATAATGTGTTGGTTACTCTTCTCTTGTTTTTGAGACAAAATACCTGATGCCCAAAATTAGGGAAGGAAAGGTTTATTTAGCTTACAATTTTTGGAGATTTCAGTCCATAATCAGCTGACTCCAACGCAGGGTAGCATGGCTGAGGCACAACATGGCAGCTATGGCAGACACCAGAATCCACAAAAGCAAAATGGCAAAAGGGCAAATCATGCTTCCTTTCCTCCTTTATACTCTATGCTGACCATTTGCCCTGGGTGGGTGCAGCACTCACAGCCAATCCCAGCGCTAGACAATGAACCAACCACAAATGCTAGACTTAGTCATCTCCATGACTGCACAAGGTCCCAGAGGGACAATCAGACACAAACCACAACATATAATAAGGCATTTTTTCTTTATTCAATAATATGATGTGCTACAGCAATTGTTTTTCAATTGAAAGGCCAAATATGTGTTGCTAGATAAGCCAAATTTCTCACGATATATGTTTTTCTTATTGATTGATTTGATTTGTATTGATACACAAAAGTAATGTTGGTATTTCATTTCCCTTTCCTATGTTGTCTTTATGACATCAAAGCTAAGCTAGTTCTATAAAAGATAGTGGTAGCATCCTTTCCTTTCTCCAGATGAAATTACATAGCAATCTTTGAGTATTTTCTGGAGAAATCTGTCCTGTATAGTTATCCAAAAAAAGGTTCCAATGTCATGGGTTTAATATATTTCCTCAGAAAAACAGTAGTCTTCTACCTGAACTCTTATTATTTCTTCAAATTTGGCCTGATAATTACTCTTGCACTGGTAATTCTTCAAAGCTGTTAGAGTTTTTCTTTTTTTGGTACTTAGAATCAAACTCAGCCATGTGCTTGCCAAGTAGGCACTGTGTGGTTGAGCTGTATCCCCAGCCCAGTTTTTCAACATTTCATACAGCTTTGGTTTAGGTTGCTTTTAGGGGGAGGGTTGACATGAAATCCTAGGTCATTGTTAATGAAATTCTCTATGCACAGGGACCTAGATTTGGTCTCTTCTGCCATCAATGAAATACAATTTTAGGTGTTTTCTGATTAGTTTGACAGCTCTCAACAAAATCCTGCCACTAAACCTTCAACATAAAGGGAACCACAGAGAACACTAAGGTATTCACATTAAGTAGGAATCTGTCTCCCACTGTGCCACTGTGTCATAATTTTCACTGAGGGTTTGTTGGTGTGGGAGACCACCAGGCCGCATTCACCTAACAAATGAAGCCTTTGATCCATCTTTACTTGACCACTACTTCGACCTTAACTACTGTGATATGCAGAGCTGGCTATACAGAAACAAATGTTCCCTTAATTGACCAGAAGAATGCAATTGAGTCCAGCTGAGGCACCAATGTGACTCAGCATAACAAAGCAGCTGCATTCAAGTGAGAATTGCTCTTGTGCTGATGGCTGGAATGCAAGTTCAAGCAATTCCAGGGCTAAGACATGAGATAACATCTCAGCTGAAGCCATAAGACTCAAAAAGAATTATATCTTCTTGACAGTAAAGGTGCCATCCTTTTATATATCAAGCCATCTGTTGCACCACTAATTGGGAGGCTTCTGTGTCTGGTGTCAGAATGCTCTGTTTCTCCTTTTTTTTTTTTTAATTTTATTTTGAAAGTATACAACAGAACAAGACAGAATAAAACCAACTAAGATCATAAAGTGAAATTGATACAGAACTTCACAGCAGGTTATCGGGAAAACAGTAATAGGTATCACAGTATATTTTGTTATCTTTATAATAGTTGTTCTTTCAATCACATATATCAAATTGAGATAAAATATAGAACACACTGAATAGAGCAGTACCATTAATCAGAAAAGAGCAAAACAGTAATAAAACTATTTGCCTTCAAAGAGATGGTAGAAGGAAGTCCCCATTATTTGCTATGGTCAACCTCCCAGGAGAGGCTCAGATTTCTGGTTCCCATTTGCTAATGGGTGGTGGGGGGAGGGGAGGGGAAGTGGGATATTTGACTCTAGGCCGTGCATCAATAGGTTCACTATTGCTTAGCAGGGAGGTAGGCTGGTTGTTTGGTTTCACAGAGTCCTAAGTTCCAACATGGTGTGGATCTCAGGAGCTGCTGCTGGTTCACCCCCTGGAAGGGCTGCTGTCTGCCACACTCCCACTGATTATCAGGGAGGGGAGGTGCTTGCTTGGCTTCCCAGTGTCCTAAGTTCCAACATGGCATGGATCTCAGGAGCTGCTGCTGGTTCTCCCCCTGAAAGGGATGCAGTCTGCCACACTGTCACCGATTACCAGAGAGGGGAGGTGCTTGCTTGGCTTCCCAGCATCCTAAGTTCCAACATGGCACAGATCTTAGGAGCTGCTGCTGCACAGAGCACCAGCTGCTGCTGGAAGGGCCGCAATCTGCCACACTGCCACCGATTACAGAGAAGGGAGGTGCTTGCTTGGCTTCCCAGTGTCCTAAGTTCCAACATGGCGTGGATCTCAGGAGATGCTGCTGGTTCTCCCCCTGGAAGGGCTGCAGTCTGCCACACTGCCACCGATTACCAGAGAGGGAGGTGCTTGCTTGGCTTCCCAGTGTCCTAAGTTCCAACATGGCGCTATCTCAGGAGCTGCTGCTGGTTCTCCCCCTGGAAGGGCTGCAGTCTGCCACACTGCCACCGATTACCAGAGAGGGGAGGTGCTTGCTTGGCTTCCCAGTGTCCTAAGTTCCAACATGGCGCTATCTCAGGAGCTGCTGCTGGTTCTCCCCCTGGAAGGGCTGCAGTCTGCTCTGTTTCTCCTTACACACCATGTCTCCAAGTTCCATGATCCCCACCACCTCCTTGACTGACACCAATAAAAGCCTTGGACACTCTCACTCTTGGCCTTTTATTCCACTGAGAGCAATTAGTCATCCCAGAACCCCTTCAACTATAGATCTCTTTTTTTTTCATCCATGAGCCTGAACCTTTGTGAGGGTTTCAACATGTTAAATCTGGCAAACATGAGAAATGTCAGAGACAAAGCCTTCTCTTATGTTGTTTCTCTTGTAGAACATTGCACCAGCAACAAAAGTACCTGTGCAATATGTGTGGACAAATTCTAGAAAGAAGTAACACAGACCTCAGCAGGGTAGCCTTGAGCCAGAGGTTAGAGACAAGCAGATTTGACCTCTCTCCTTCTGACATCTTTGATTTTTTCCTAGTGTTCTCACTCACACTCCACCACAGCAGGTTTTATTCAGCCTTGTGGAAGATCTATCTAAGTTTGTATAGGTAATACAGGGAATTTGCATTCATATACAGTTGACATTCCAAGGGACACACTCTAAACTCACAGGGATAGGATATGGTGAGGGCAGGCAGTTGCCAACTGTCTTGTCTTCTTGAAAAAGTTGGGGGCTTGGGTAGGTTGAGGTTTCTGGCACACAGCTCCAAAGCCCCTTCTTGTTACCCTGAGTTCCTCTTTCTGCTGTCAGCACTGACTCAGCAACTCAGTGGGAGATCAGCACATTGGCTTGGATGATTCCCCATTGCCCAGAGCACTGGCAGTTGGTGGCCAAACCTCCTAGGCAGCCCTGGAAGTTGCACCACCACATAACAGGACAACTAGACTGTGAATTCTCAAGCCCCCCTCCTAACCCTTCCTTCCTCTGTCAAAGGCTAAAAGCCTGACAGGAGGAGAAGCATGCAGCAACCGACTGAGCAGACTTTCAAGCAAGATGCAGCCACTCCTGCTCTTGTTGGCCTTTAGCCTACTCCCTGGGGCCAAGGCAGGTAAGTGACCAACCTCAGTCTCAGAGGTCTGATCCTCTCCCACAGACTCTGGGGCCACGCTTCCTTGGCATATCCATACGTTCGAGCACGGGTCTAATTCCTATTTCTTGATTCCCCAACTATTAAATGAGAATAATATTGATAATAGCCTTATAATGTTGCTGGGAATGTTAAATTATTAACATATTAACATACCTTGTGCAAGGTAAGTGCTATATGAGTATACTTTATATAAATTCATTCTGTATCCCACATATCAAAGCACAAGAGATAGAGATACAGAACTGACAGCTCCATTAACTGACGTCTAGCTGCTAAAACACCAATCCTATACTGTCCATGAACTGGACTCAGAGAGGAAAAGGAAAGAAATGAGATGAAACCTGTAATAGCAGTGATTTCTGAGAGTTTGGGGGCCATCTGCCATCACCTGACACCCTCACTGATACCTCCTCTCTCTCCCACATCATCTCTCCTGCCCTCTTACTTTCTAGACTTTATTAAGCCATGAATCTGGTGCCCACCTTGCTGGTTCTTAGGCAAAGAAGTAAATGCTGAATTCTTCCTTCCAGGAAAGATCATTGGAGGACGAGAAGCCAGGCCCCACTCCTACCCCTACATGGCATATCTTCAGATTCAGACACCAAAAAGTCCGACCTTTTGCGGGGGTTTCCTGGTGCGAGAAGACTTTGTGATGTCAGCAGCTCACTGCTGGGGAAGGTAAGAAATTCAGGCAATCTTCTGGGAGATAGTAACACAAACCCAGAAGAACTCATAGAAGAGTCATCTGAAAGAGACACTTTGGCAATAAAAGGATGAAAAAGAGACCAAATAAAATTGAGGAAATGGGAGGTGAGAGGCCAGTGTAAGTGAGGAGCTTAGGAAAACTTGATCTAAAAGAACAACAAATGGAAAGCATGCACTGAAGTTCACAATATGAACCCTGTCTTGCAATTTAATTTGGAAGAATAAACATTAAGAGGTCACCATCCCTCACCATCCCCAGCTCAGAGATTTGGGCCCAGGTTCCTGTCCCTCCCTCTGCTCTCTTCAGCTGCAGTTTACCCCTACTCTGAACTCTCTGTGGCACTGCACAGCTGTTTGACCATAGCTCCTGCTGCTCACACCTAACCTCTAGACCAATCTTTCATTTGCAGTGTTATAAATGTCACACTGGGGGCCCACGATGTCCACAGGCTGGAAAGGACCCAGCAGAAGGTCTCTGTGCTCAGAGCCATCCCCCACCCTGAATATGATCACCAAACTGCCCTGAATGACATCATGTTACTGCAGGTACTGCATGCCTATCTGGTTCTTCAGCCTAGCCAGCTTCTTCCTAGTGTGAGTGTTTCACTGTACTGGGACCATGGAGGAGAAAGAAAGGCAAGATTATCAGGGAATGGGTTGAGGGGAACATAAACTGCACACTGTACCAGCAGTCTCTGAGCATTGTTTAGGGGTCCCATCTGAGCATAACTGCCTGCACTCTTCCTGACAGCTGAGGAATAGAATCAGGCGGAATCGATTTGTAAGGCCAGTGGCCCTGCCTAATGCTGGGAATAGACTGTTTCCTGGAGCCTTGTGTACAGTGGCTGGCTGGGGACAGGTCAGCCTGAACAGGACAACAGACAGACTGCAGGAAGTGCAATTGAGAGTGCAGAGTGATCGGAAGTGCATTCGTCGCTTCAGCATCTACAGCAGCAAGACTGAGATTTGTGTTGGGGACCCTAGACAAAGAAAAATTGCCTTTAAGGTAAGCACATGACTATCTACTGATATTTTCTGAGACAGGGTAGTCTGTGCCGAGACAGGGCAATGGAAACAGACTCTATCCCCTATAGTCTTAGCCTTGGGGCCACACCAGACCAAACCAGAGTGTGGTGGGAATCTTTTTCCTATCCATCCAGGATCTGGAGGAACGGAAAGAAGCTCCACATAAAACACATACATATACATATGCAGCATCTTTCCTAGAGAAGGTGAAGACACACTGAATCTCATTATTGTGAAGACAGTAACACAGTCAAGGCTGAAGCCAGAGACTATGCTCCTTCACCCACACCAATCTGCCATCTCACACACACCAGCCCTTAAAGAAGCCCATCCATCACTGCCTTCTCTGAGAGAGGCAGTTTCAGGATAGGAGGAGCAGAAAGGTCTCATTTAGTATCCTGTCTCCTCTTTGTCTGCAGGGAGACTCTGGTGGCCCTCTGGTATGTAACAATGTGGCTCAAGGCATTGTCTCCTATGGAGACAGCGAAGGAACTCCTCCAGAAGTCTTTACCAGGATTGCAAGCTATCAGTCCTGGATACGGAGAACAATGAGACGCTTTGAACAGCAGGATCAGACTACAGATTGATTCCCCAATTCCATGACTGACAGTAAAATTCCCTGGGGCACAGGTCAGCTGCAGGGGATTGCCAGAACATTAATAAACTTTCAATTCAAAGTGAAAATATTTGTTCATTAAACATCAGTCAATACTGTCTCCTTTGGTGTGAACTGCTATAATAAAATGTTGGCTTATAAACAATAGAAATTTATTATCGCATCTCCTGGGAAAGGGAGAATTTTTATAAGGGTACTTTGAGCCTAAAAATATAGCTAAGACATGTGGGCATGTGAAAAGAATGTTAGAGAGGATAGGTCTGTATGTTTTTTATCTCCTTTGAACCAGTGATGTATGTCAAACTTGCAACAGGGCCAATGATATACATCAACCTTATGATAAGAGATGGGCAGGTATATGGGATAATTCAAAGGTCATACTCACTATAGAAAGGAATGTTGTACCTGTTTTGATTTTTTTAAACAGCTCACTTTGAAGCAGAGTAAGTGATTCTGATGTGAAGCCAACTGGAGTAGCTACTGGAAGCTGAAACAGCCTCTCCCTGGTTGGTTAGCACTCCAAATTTTCCCCCTGACAGATCACAAAGACGATTCTTTGACATCTGGATAGTGGTTTCTTTTTCTATATCTCCTCTGGCAGAGAGTGGAAGATGAAAGATAAGGGCCTCAAATGAATCTATGGTTGTTTCAGAGATTGTGGGGCTCATATAAAGTTTGAGTGTGAAACTACCAGGTGGCATTCTCACTGACCAAAAAAGGTCAGTGCATTCCTTATAAAGAGGCTGGGGTCCTTGTCTGCTCATTTTTTGGAGATGAATATTTTGGAGGCTGGATACAAACTTTACCAAGAATTTAAAAAGTCAGGACCAAAAGAAAGAAGAAGTAGGACAGCCACAAGTCACCACAAAAAGAGGAGAAACAAGGTAAGGACAGTGTCTTAGTTACTTTTCTGGTTGCTGAGGTAAAATACTCAACACCCAAAATTAAAGGAGGAAAGACTTATCAAGAGCACAGTGTGTAGATGTTTCAGTCCATAATTAGCTGGCTCCAAGGCAAGGTGACATGGCAGTCAGGCATCACAAAGGAGAAACAATTTATAGTGAGCAGAAGGTAGCATGACAAGCAAAGGAAAACACAAGCCTCTTTCTGTCCCTTATACTGTATCCAGGCTACCAGGATTATGGCAGTGGTAAACCAATCAGTGGACTGATTGATTATTCACCTACACTTAATCCTAGCATTAGGATCTGCCTCTGAGAAGACCCCACTGATGACTGCATACTGTCTTTGCAGAGATGTCTAGACACAAGCTATAACAGACAAGAAGATGAGATTCAGAGGAATTTTCTAGTGATAGGGGGGTCTGATTCTTGATTAAACTTTTATATCCAGGTGTCATAATCTCTTTAACATTTACTTCCACTTGTCCTGAATTGTTAATATAGATGCAGGAGGTCTTATGGATTACATATATCTCTTTGATTTGTGAGGAGGAAATCAAGGGCCAAATGATTATCTGTGACTTTATTAGCCAGAGAGCTGAGGGGCTCCTAGAGGCCTTATAGGGCTAAGATCATGGAAATTTGTCAAGTTTTCCAGGATTCAAGTGGTTTTAGTGTTACTTAAAGGTAGGTGAGGCCCTCCCAAGGGGTCACCAATCCAATAGCCAAATCTACCCCAGCCAGGATCCAATCCAGTTACCTGTGATACCTAAGGAGAGTGATAGTACAGATTGTTACTAGCATATCTTGTGGGCCAGGTCACTACTGATACATTGCCCCATGGGCCATGAGTTAAAGAGTAAGTAATAGCTTTTCCTAGGATGCAGAAAGGAAAAGTTAGGGCAAGATATGAAAGGGCCAATTATCAGTACTAGACCACATAAAAATAGCAATCTGCGTGGTGTCTTACACAATAATTGTTAACAAGGTGTGTTAGGTTAAGTCCTCAAGTGGCTGACCCAATGAAAGAAGAGTAGAAGAGAGGTCTCCTTCCACCACCACTAGCACCAGTTTAGGACTGGATTGCCCTGTCAAAGCTTGAGCCAAAGTGTAAATTGTTGTCTTAAAATCTAGGCAATAAGTTGCTATCTCATCCACAGGCCACATTTTGCCCTTCAGTTTTCCTCCGTGAGATGCCAGTTATTAAGCTTGTAGGTACTGCCAGATACAGTGGTGGAATTAGCATAAACAATGAAATTATCCTTGTTAAGGATAATTAGGGTTGAAGCTTGTTGGGATATGGAGTCCAAGAGCTTTGTAGTGATACATAGTTGAGGGGAAATCCTCCCCTGGTATGCATGACATGAAGGACTTTGTTTAGATTGTAACAAGAATAAGATACTGGAAAGAGGTGAACACAAATAGGGGTCAGCTTTGGAATCCAGAGGGAGGCTTCTTTGTACCTCAAGTTGGAAGGAGATATCTATAATGTGGAATTTCCAGTGTTGTGCCTGCTGAGGAGGAGAATGACAAACTCAAAAATTGAACATGTTTTGGTCTCAACCACTTATTTGGGGAGAATTAGAGAAGAAGTTTGAGCCTCTGTCATCATCAAGGAGAGGAGAACTATAATGCCTTTTATCTTGATGTCTCCCCGGATGCCTCATGTGCTCCTAGATAGGGTTTTGGGGAAGTGACTGGATCAGGGCTGTGTGGTACTGGCTTAGTATGCTACTGGATTTATAGTTGGGTGTGATGTTGGGAGGTGAAACCTGGTATGAAGTGGTGGGCCACTGCGGGCATGATGTCGAGTGCCATATATCACTTTACCTTCCTTGATCTTGGCCCTGCTTCTTGCTTGCCTTGCCATGAACTCTTTCTTATCTGCCATGTCTGCCTTGGAACCAGCTAAACATGGACTAAAGCCTCTACAAACTGTAAGCCAAAATAAACCTCTCTTTCTTTAACTTCTAGGTGTTGGAATAAGTAATAAGAAAGTAATAAGACAGGCATTCAAGGTAGGAAGCAGAGCTAGAAATATTAAGTGATAGGAATAAGGACAAGGATTGTATATAATGTAAGAGTCACTGACAAATTGAGAGCCTCACTTTTGAGAGGTTATGTTGGAGATGAACACAGGGCCATTGTTTGATTGTAAGGACTGAAGCAGATCAAAGCAGAGATTAATATGGTTCAAAAAGCCAGTGAGTATTCACTTTAGAAACTGTTTCTATTTGCATAGGAAATGCCTCTATCCACCAGTAAAAGTGTCTATAAAGACCAATAGATACCTGACACTTTTGGATCATACCATGTGGATAGTCTTTTGCTAATCTCCGCTGGCATAGTTCTCTTTTGTTGGGTAAACCTACCCAACAAATAGGGGTCCTTTTGGATTAATTTGGGTATAAGCAGAACATGTCTTTGAAATGTCTTAATGAGTCTGTGAGATTCTGGGTTCCTATTAAAAGAAGATCTGTTAAAATCGGGAGAGCCTTTGCTCATAAAATGTATGGCCTAATGAAGACTACTGAGCTTTCCATGGGAAAAAGTTAGCTGTTATAGCCTGTATCTAAATGTTCCCCTGAGTCTCACACAGTCATAGGGGGTGCTTTTCTGAGGTGGCCTGATCTAGGCTTGTGCTGCTGGGGTTGAGGAAGTGATGCTGGAACTGACTCATGATGCAATGCTGGGATTAAGGCTGCCTCATCCTCGGTGTGAGTGCTGCCTGCCCTTAAGGTGGGTAGCATGGTTGAGATATAAGGGACAGAAGGTGGCTGCTTACTGTCTGCAGCTTTCTACTTGCTGATTGCTGCCTTCTGCCTTTTATCAGCCAGGAACTGTTCCTCTCCTGCAATACCTCTCTGCTGTGCTACCCTGCCATGGAGCCAACAGACTACTAACTGAAACCTTTCCAAACTGTGAGCAAAATTAAACTTTCCTACTTTAACTTTGGGTGTGAGATATTTTTGCCTCAACAATAAGAGATGTAAGAAGTAGACATCCATCTGGAGTGGCTGTAAAACCTTGCTCTAATGCCTTTAGAATTTAGAGTAAACACTAGAATAGAGGATTAGAGCTGTCTTTTTTTTTTTTTTTTTTTTTTTTTTTTTGTCTTTTTCCTTTTTATCGGTACCGGGGATTGAACTCACGACTGCCTGGGACTGGCTTCATGTTTAGCTTATTTGCCCAAATGTTATCTCAGGAAACATGGTTGATTCTTTTGGTGGACTGTACAATGCACAATAACTACCTTAGCAAGAAGCCTTATTGCATGCAGGGGAGCCATGCTCCATGATGGTGCTCTGGGCTGTTAGCAACCCTTTCATTTCAAGATGGCCACATGAGCAATAGGAACATGAAAAGCATATGCTGAGCCTGTATAAATATTACATCTCATACCTGCCTCTAGTTGAAGATCCCAAATAAGGGCAAACAATTTGGCCTTGCAGGCAGAAGTAGAGTTGCATGGAAGGGGTTCTGACTCTATGGCTTTTGTAAGGCTAATACCCAGACATTCTGCATCATGCCATCACAAAGCTACTTCCATCTGTGGACTATGTAGAATTAGGAGGGGTGTACTGCATAACTGAGTCTGGCTGCTGCAGGTAAGGTCTGCTGTCCCTATACAAGAACACTGGAAGAGCACGTCAGGATTAGGGTCCTGTAACAAGGTGACCAGCCTAGGAGTATAACAGAATTTTATAGTAAGTTGTGGGATTTTAGTATAAGAGTCTGATACTTTATTGTCTGTGTTCCTATCTGCATTCTGGCTTTCTGAACTCTGACTACTATCACACATCAAGCACTGCTCATAGGGCTTCTCTAGCCCATGTCTCCAATCTTTCTAAACTGTTTTGGTGAACCAGCTCCAAAGGCTTCTGAACCACATGATCAAGTACAGTCACAGCAACAACTACATTCTCAGTACCAAAATCTGTATTAGTCAGTTTCCCATTGCTGAAACATAACTCTCAACACCCACAATTTAAAGAAGTTTACCTTGGATCACAGTTTCAGGAGATTGAGTCCGTGGTTGACCATCTCCAAGCAGAAAAACTATGGTAGAACACATGGTGATCAGGAAGAAGAGAGAGTGAGAACAAGTTGGGGACAAGAATACACCTTTCAGGTCACCCCTAGTGACTTGACTCTTCCAACAAGGCCTCACCTTCTAATGTAAGGCTTTTCAAGGGACATTTCAGATCTAAACTGTTACACTATCCC